GAAATGAAATTTTTAAAAGGGAGAGGGGGGTGGGGACATTGTATTCTGGCCCAAATCAGGCAAGAGACCATCTGATGGGTGAGGGGGGACATATGGGAGTAGAAGGGTGGCCGAGGGATACAAACACCCTTTCCATAGTTGAGGGCCTGACAGAAAGACAGAAAGAATTCCAAGCAAAATCATTTTTGTCTGTTTGACATTCACCTCAGATAAAGGAAGTTATGGCCAGTCATGGTCCTATTAATGTTCTGGCAAGCATTAATGCAATCCCTACTGGTGGGCATCAGCTGCTAATCTCCCTCTCTTGTACCTCTGGCAAATCTAGAGCAAGTCCAGAGAAGGGCTACCAAAATGGCGAAAAGAGTGGGAACCAGAAGAAACCTTGGGATATTCAGCTTGAAGAACAGAAGCTCAAGAAAGGACGCATCTTCAAATACCCATTGGGATGTCAATGTTGTAGAGGGCTTGGACTTCTTCTCAGGAAGGCTAGAACATCTGGGTTGTAAATACAAGTTAGACATGAGGAAGAATTAGTTAGACAGTCAGAGCTGTCAGTGAGTGGAAAACTCACTGAAAGTTTTTAACCTGAGACTGGGCCGTCATCTTTTGGAGTCACCTGATGGTGGAGTTTCCCTTCCAACTCTGATTCTGTGACATGGCGCCAATGCAGGGATGAAATCTAGCAGGTTCTGACAGGTTCTGGAGAACCGGTAGTGGAAATTTTGAGCAGTTTGGAGAACCGGCAAATACCATCTCTGGCTGGCCCCAGAGTGGGGTAGGAATGGGGATTTTGCAATATCCTTCCCCCAGGAGTGGGGAGGGAATGGGGATTTTGCAGTATCCTTCCCCTGCCACGCCCACCAAGCCATGCCCATAGAACCGCTAGTAAAAAAAATTGGATTTCACTACTGCTCCAATGGGCTTTTTCCAGCGAAGGCTGAATAGGTAATTTTCTCAGTGCACACAGAATGGACCAGCAGTTGATCAGGACTCAAGAACATGCTGGGGATGGAAGGGGGTGATGAAGAAACAATTCTGCCACATTCCTGTTTCGATGAACTCAGAGGTGGTGCAGAGTTGTGTAGAAAAGGTTTTGTGATGTTACAATGCAGATGGAAAAACCTTACAGTATGTGGGGACTTACCTCACCCAGATCACCCTGTGTGCATAGGAACCTACCAGGCCGAGAAGGAGGCCTTCTTACAAGTCTCTCTAGAGACGCACCAAGGAAACCTTCTGTTATGCATCCATCCACCACTGCATTTGAAAATGGTCGCACCCAGGTCCGAGGTTTCCCCATAAAGGATCATCAGCAATAACAAGACAGTTTGAAAGATCATCTTTGAAGTAGGAACATAGTTTTACATCTCCCCCCCGTGGAGTTTCAAGGGTGTGGGTGGTTTTGGTTTCCTTTGGAATGAGGTCACTGGAGGCTTAGAGGTATTTTGTAATATTTGCATTTTTTCAGAAATACCGTACGCTGCCTGCCTGCGTCTAGCAGGAGGTTTGCATCAATTCTCCAGCAGACAAGCTTGGCTCACTTTCTGCCCTTGATTTTATGACTTCTAATTCTTCACATCTGCACAGTGGAAAAGGAAGGTGGGAAGGGCAGCAGCTCCCCCTCCCAGAAGCGAGGGAGGGGGGGTGTCTGAGGATCTCTCCTACCCTGCCTTTCCTCCTGAGGCTCAGAGCTTTTTCTCCTCTGGAGTTTTTCATGGGTGCAACTCAGATAGGAGAGGAATTGGCACAAATTTACCTCAGGAAGTCCTATAGTTGAGAAGGATGAAACTGGATTCCTGACATGGGAATAATCCTCAAGGTCATCCTGGATTCCTGGCCACCCCAGAAGAAAAGGTGCTTGGTCAAGGGGTGGAAGGCTGGGCTAATCTTCCTGACCAGCTCAGTTCCCTCTCTTCTCTCAGGATCAAAGTGAGGGTCGGGAGGCTGCCTGGGCTTCTGTGTTGTTAGCCCTACGGCCATGAACCAGGCCTCTGGGTGCTAAGCAGAGAGCCGGGGTCTTCAAGGGGTTAGGCCTCCAGGAGCTTTTCCAACCCATTCAGTTAAACTGCAGGGCCACGGTTTATAATTTGATTAGTATTTCTCACTCAAGCTTCCTGAGCTGAATTCTTGCCACCTGCTTCCCTGCATCTGGAGATGCCTGCCTCTTCCTGGGCCCTTGTAGGACGTTGAGACTGAAGAAATCCAGAGTAGCTGGAAGGGAAAGGAGCAAAGATGAAAGTGGGAGTTTCCACTTGTCCCAACAGCTCTTGATGGGGTTATAGATTTGGGCTGGTGGCCCTCAAAATACCTGCCAACTGTTTTGGATGTCTCAATTAGATTCCCCCTCAATCTTCAGGGAAGGAAATGCCAGGCCGAGCTTTGGGCAACCAACCCAGCTAGAATCCCCCAGCTTCACCCCACTATTGTAGTTTACTCTGCTCTGAGATTGCTTCCTACTGAGTCTGGCTAGGCTAAAATGACCCATAACATTAATGGAGTATTGATAGCACTGTATGTTTGCTGGAGCTGGTCTTTCTTCTGATCCATTTCATGATTTCCCCTACCCTGCTTTGTCGATGCATATATGATCTTTTCTTTACATTGGTAAGAGAGTGACTCTAATGTTGACATTATATTAGAGCCTGCAATAAGATCAGCACTGTGAATTTTTTAACAGAGAGATGGGAGTACCAGACCATCTTATTTGTCTCTTGAGAAACCTATATGCGGGTCAAAAGAAGAAACAGTGAGAACGACACGTAACCACTGATTACGTTCAAAATTGGGAAAGGAGTCCAGCAAGGCTGAATATTGTCATCCTGCCTATTTAACTTATATACAGAGCACATCATGAGAAAGACAGGACCAGATGAATCAAAAGTTGGAATTAAGATTGCTGGGAGAAATATCAACAACCTCAGATATGCAGATGATACCACTCTAATGGCAGAAAGTGAAGAGGAACTAAAGAGCCTCTTGATGCGGGTGAAGAAGGAGAGTGTAAAAGTTGGCTTGAAACGCAACATTAAGAAAATTTAAGAACATGGCATCCGTCCTGCTCAATTCCTGGCAAATAGATGGGGAAGAAATGGAGGTAGTGACAGATTTTATTTTCCTCGGCTCCAAGATCACCGCAGATGGGGACTGCAGCCAAGAAATTAAAAGATGCTTGATCCTGGGGAGGAAAGCTATGGCAAATCTAGACAGCATTCTATAAGGCAGAGACATCACCCTGCCAATAAAAGTGTGTATAGTCAAGGCTATGGTTTTCCCAGTTGCAATGTATGGCTGTGAAAGTTGGACTATAAGAAAGGCTGAGCGCCAAAGAATTGAGGCCTTTGAATATGGTTCTGGAGAAGACTCCTGCGAGGCCCTTGGACTGCAAGGCAATCAAACTGGTCAGTTCTAGAGGAGATCAACCCTGACTGCTCTTTAGAAGGCCAGATCCTTAAGATGAAACTCAAATACTTTGGCCACCCAATGAGAAGGAAGGACTCACTGGAGAAGAGCCTAATGCTGGGAAAGATTGAGAGCAAAAGAAGAAGGGGATGACAAAGAATGAGGTGGCTGGATGGAGTCATTGAAGCAGTAGGCGTGAGCTTAAATGGTCTTCGGGGGATGGTAGAGGACAGGAAGGCCTGAAGGAACGTTGTCCATGGAGTCGCGATGGATCGGACACAACTTCGCAACTAACAACTATATGCCTATGTTTGTTGTACATCATACATGTGCAACACACTTAATCGAAAGGTGTGAGGAAGGGGCGGAGCTTAAGAGTCTTTGCATGGCAGAAAGCAGAACAGCAGGCCTGATCTTCCCCAGAATCGCCCAAGCCTTATCTGATCGTTCCCAAGGGAATGCAGTCCATCTGGGAGCATTCTTGCAAATAGGCATTGCAACAATAAAGAAGTCAACTCATGGTGTGGGCCTGCGTCTTTGTGCCTGTCATTCAGGCTGCTGCAATATTTGTCTAATGCAAGTACTCACTTCCCAGAAGCACCCTTGATGTTAGGCAACATGCCTCCATGCGCATGCAAGAAGCTGGGGAATACCAATGAATGGAGGACTGAGAGACACAATTCCAGGGGTGAAATGCTCCCGGTTCGGTCCAGTTCACCTGAACCGGTAGTAAAAAAGGCTACTGGTTTGCCGAACTGGTAGTAAAAAATGTAAATGAGGGAAGAAGATATTATCAAATTCCCTTCAGAAGAAAGATCAGGGACTTCAGATTTCCATCACTTGGAGTGGAAGGTATTGAGGCTGCCATAATCTGTCCCTTATCCCTAGATGGGTATCCAACCTCTTACATTAAGAACTGCGTGCAGCCAACCTGGCAGAGGCTTCCATGACTCAAACTCAGCAGAACCCATGGTGAAGCAATCTGTCCTTCTGTCAAGATAGGACTAATGAATTTGAGGCTGTGGCAGCCCTTTGAAGCTCTGTGAAAAGCCTGGATTCCACTTGCATGCAGAAAAGATGGGGTAGCATCAGAGCTAAATCAGAGTTAACAGAGATGCAAGACCAAAATTGGCAGTATTTGCAAAATGTGTTTCCACAGATTTAATGCTGGATTTGGCTAAAAGTTGCGTAGCTTAGCTAATGCTGAGAGTGCTCTGAGACAAGGGACTATCTTTATCTACCCCCAGAACCATATTTCCTCTCTCACTTGCTTTCTCATGGAGAGAAAAAAAGAAGAAGATGCCATGGGAAAATGTAGGGAAGTTGTAATTGGAAGTTCTGGACCTTCCTGTAGAATTCCAGCTCAGAGAGGTGTTAATAAAAGCTAGTCTGTCCAAAATTACCCCTTTTCCTTGGCTTCTTAGATTTCTGTTTCTAGAAGGCCTGGTGGAGCATGATGGATCCTGCCTGACTTTCCCCAGGCATGCATTTTCAAAGATTTTCTACAAATTCTGGGTTTCTTCTTTTCTCACCAATGAGGCTTTGGAGCACCAGAAGATCCTGATGAGGACAAACCCAGCTAGCTCAGTCCTGCCTTCTCTCCCTCATTGGTGCAATCTCTTCTTGCCTGAGAAACAGGAAAGCTATATTTGTACCAATCATAATTATTATTCTTTCACCAGTACCCTTTTTGAGAGATAAAGCCTCCTGGAGGCCACAGGGCAGGGATAAACAGTTCAGGCTGGAAAGAAATGGGGCCCACAGGACAAATAAAAACTCAACTTCAAACCAGCAGATGCTGTGAAAGCCTCCGAGCAGGAAATATCTCCAGCATGACACTGAGATTTATGAAGTTCACTGTTTTGCAAGTTTTCAGAAAAGGTCCACCAAAAAGGAGGAGGGGGGGGGAGGAGAACAGAATAACAGAATAAGAGAGTTAGAAGGGACTTTGGAGGTCATCTAGTCCAACCCTCTGCTCAAACAGGAGACCCTATACCATTCCAGACAAGTGGCTGTCCAGTCTCTTCTTAAAAGCCTTTAGTGATGGAGCCCCTACAACTTCTGGAGGGAAGTTCTTTCCTTGGCTAATTGTTCTCACTGTCGGGAAATTCCTCCTTACTTCTAGGTTCGATCTCACCTTGAAAAGTTTCCATCTGTGGCTTCTTCTCCTGCCCTCAGATGCTTTGGAGAATAGGTTGACTCCCCTCTTTTCTGTGGCAGCCCCTCAAATATTGGAACACTTTTATCATGTCACTCCAATCCTTCTCTTCACTAGTCTAAACATACCCAATTCCAGCAATTGTTCTTTATATGTTTTAGCGTCCAATCCCCTAATCATCTTTGTTGCTCTTCTCTGCACTCTTTCTAGAGGCGCTACATCTTTATATATATATATATATGTGTGTGTGTGTGTGTGTGTGTGTGTGTGTGTGTGTGTCTTTTTCTTTTTCGTAGGCTTTTATGTGCATATTCTTTCTAGCCAGGTTCCACCTACGTAAGCTAAGTTGTTCCACAGCCCTAGTTCTGTGAAATCTTCTGTGAGATTTCACAGAACTAGGGCTGTGGAACAACTTAGCTTATGTAGGTGGAACCTGGCTAGAAAGAATATGCATATATATATGCATGCTTTTTTGGCAGCTGCAACACTGGCAGTGCTGGCTCATATTTAAGTGGTTGTTTACTAGCAGCCCAAGCTCTTCTTCCCAATTACTGCTATTGAGCCAAATTTTACCTAATCAGTATTTGTACGTTTGGTTTTTCTTGTCTAAGAGGAGGAGGAGGAGGAGGAGGAGGAGAGGAGGAGGAGGGGGGATCACAGAGGTTAAAGTGGGGGGACCTCTCAGTGGACCAGAGACCCCGAAGCCTCAGGGTCCAGCTGCTTTGCGCCTCTTGCAGGATGATGCCTCCTGCTGGTGACTCCCTGCCTGTCCTCACCCCCCCCCTTGGCTGCTTCTGCTGCTTTGAAGTGGGGAGGTTTATGGTGGGCACCTTATAGCCCAAGTAACTTTCTGAGCCGTTGGCTCAATCTTGCAGCTGGATGAATTCATTTATACATGCAGTATATGTGCAGAGTAGGAATAAAAAGGAGCCTCAGGCAGTTTGGAAACTAACCTAAACTATCTGCAAAATTTAGAGCTGAAAAAATGAGAGCTCATCAGATCAGAAAAACTGGGCAGCATCTGGCAGTTCTCCTCCCAAAGAAGCACATTTGCATTGACTGCTTTATTCTCCCTTCTGCTCCTGACCTGAGGGCAGTGGGACGGGTTGCGCCAGATCTGGTGTTCTCAGCCATGCTGCCAAGCAAACCAAACTTCAGGGAAGGGGTGCACTTTGGGGCGGGAGAATTTCTGAGTTCCGAGCCTGGAAGTGAGGCCAAAACACTACCAAAAATTCAGATGTATCTTATCCGTCACACGGGGCTTGCACAGAGTGAACAGCTGTGCAGAAATTCTTGTGCAGGAAGAAGAGTCAGGGTGCTGCAAACAGGACCCTTCTGCCTGCCCAAACACGGTTCCTTCTGGGTTTATACTAGAGGTCTACGGGGCAGAATTCTGCAGGGAGCACCGTCCCTTCCCCACTGCAGCCCTCGCACCATCAGAGCCCTGGTCTCCTCAGCCCCTGGGCTACAGCAAAGCTTTCAGCAAGGCTGGCTTCAGGCTGTGGCCGAGTTGGCATGGTCTGGGGCGCCATGACTTGGGTGTGCCAGAACTGAAGACTTCGAAATAGTGCAACAAAAAGAGCAAAAAGCAGTAAGAACACCCTCTGTGAGTCAGCGTACCTGCTTGAGGGCTAAATAGAATGAAGTAACAAGCCTCTTTTTGAATTCCTAACAAAATTGGGAGATGAGCCCAGAAAAGGAATTTGCTTCGGGTGCCACAATGTCCAGAGCCGGCCATGACTTTTGGACTGTCTCAGCCAGAAGCACCGAAATTGCTTTGGCTGTTAGTAGTTCAGATTCTTGTAGAGAGCTTAAGCTTGCAATAAATCTTTGACCTGCCTGGATCCTCTGATTTCTCTGGCGCTTGACATGGCCCTGAGGAGACAATCTGGGGGGAGCCACTGCCATGATAAATCTACTTTTGATTGCTTAAATTAAGATGAAGCCAAGCTCAACACTGCCCAAATGCCAGGGTTGCCCTTTCTCTCAAGGGGGCCGATGCCCAGTGCCTGGGAGAGGCTTGTGTTTTCCTCCCCAGGGCAGGAGATGGCTCTTGGGAGGGGATCGGAATGATTCCTGTGAGGAAGGGAGGCTTCTCCAACTGGATCTCAGTGATCTGGCTGGGAACCCTCTGCAGCTTTGGTTCTACTGCCCAAAGGCCAAAGAGGCTTCCGAAGCTGCTCCTGTATGGTTGCAGGAAGTGGGCACGTCTAGTCTAGTGAAGAGAAGGACCAGGGGAGACATGATAGCAGTCTTCCAATACTTGAGGGGCTGCCCCAGAGAGGAGGAGGGGTCAAGCTATTCTCCAAAGCACCTGAAGGCCAGACAAGGAATAATGGATGGAAACGGAACAAGGAGAGATTCAACCTAGAAATAAGGAGGAATTTTCTGACAGTGAGGACAATCAACCCATGGAACAGAAGTTGCCTTCGGAAGTTGCGGGAGCTTCATCACTGGAGGCTTTTGAGAAGAGACTGGGCTGCCATCTGTCAGAAATGGTGTAGGGTCTCCTGCTTGGGTGGGGGGTTGGACTAGATGACCTCCAAGGTCCCTTCCAACTCTGTTAATATGTTCTGTTCTGTTAATATCAGCAGAATCTCACCAAGTCCCTGCCTGTCTCCTTCCGGCCACTTGATCAGTTTTGCTCTTGAGCTGACTACTTGGGGCTCGCTGGCTTGTCTCTTGCTTTCCCTTGCTATATAAGGGTTGGGCTGCCTACTCGGAGCATTTGGCTGCTGGATCGGCCCTTGGGGCTGGCCCTGTCTCCGCCACTTATGTCCAGCAACACCACAAAAGCTGGGGGTTTGTAGTCTTTTGGGGAACCGGCAACACTTTTCCCCTTCCCTTCTCCCTTCTCAAATAGCTTACACGTTCTGGGCAGATTGTGGATTGAAACATTACAATAAAGCATTACTCCCTCCAAGTTCAGGATTTAGCAAGTGTCCGGTTAAATGTCTAACCCATTCAGGTCACATCCCCTCACAGTCCTGCAAGGGTTAACACAACCACATATCCCATCACCCCCCCTTACCTCTGACTCCTCCCCCTGGGTATAAGAGGTCTCACCACGAGGCCATCCAGCAGTTCCAGATGTGTACCTGCAAGAGAAGGACAAAAGGTCAGTTGCTATCAGAGGAATGGGCCTAGGAACAATCCAGGCCTGCAATAAAAGAATTTCTTGAAGACATTACTCTGTCTCGTGAGTTATTGGGTTAGATCCATCACTATATCAGCAAGCCACATGAGACGATGTAGAGTCAGAAGCATGTGAGGACGGTGCTAATAGAGACATTCCAACATGTGGACTTGTGGTTTGGCCTGTCTCTTTAGAATGTCTCCTGGCGTTTTCAAACGGTGTGCTGTAAAATAACATTCTGTACTTTTATGGCTGGCAAGAGAGCCATAGAGGGAGACCAGCAGGGGCTGCTGACCAGCATTACAAGGCAAGGAGACTTCAAGGATTCAAGAAGGAGACTTTGGATGGGCTGGCTCAGCTTTGCCCAGCTCTCCGCTTCAACTCCCTGCAGCGTAATCCTGCACGACTCATGAAGCAAGTCATTTGAACCCTGCCAAACCCAGTAGAGCCCAGGTGGGTCTCAACTGGGGGTCTTCTCCTTTTGCTGCTGCTGTTGTTTGCCTGCCTGCAGAAAGAGCCTCCCAGCTTTCTCTGAGCATCTCCACCCACAGGAAGAAGAATTCATATGCTTTGGATCTGGCAGAGGAGACAAAAAGGAGACAGCTGGACAGATGTCTGCCTTCTACAGATTCCTACAGATAAACAGAGTTGGAAGGGACCTTGTAGATCATCTTGTCCAACCCTCCACCCAAGCAGGAGACCCTACACCACTTCTGACAAATGGCAGTCCAGTCTCTTCTTGAAAGCCTCCAGTGATGAAGCTCCCACAACTTCTGAAGGCAACTTCTGTTCCATTGGTTGATGGTTCTCACTGTTAGGAAATTCCTCCTTATTTCCAGGTTGAATCTCTCCTTGTTCAATTTCCATCCATTATTCCTTGTCTGGCCTTCAGGTGCCTTGGAAAATAGCTTGACCCCCTCCTCTCTGTGGAAGCCCCTCAGATATTGGAACACTTCCTCACCTGATGAGCCTACAGTGGCCATCTCCAGCTGTAACAGGCACTGGAGACATTTTCCTGCCACCGCATAAATGGGACCAGTGACATATTTGGGTTTGCGTACCCATTTTTGTCAGTAGTCCCCCTCCCCAATATTTAATTTATAAAATGGAGTCCTATTGCACAAACCATCCATTCCCCATGCCCCCTTCTCTCACATATAGATCCCACACACATAGCTTTCCTCCTAACAGCTTCGTCCTCCCCTCAAAAAAAGGTGTTGGTGAAACAAAATGAAGAGGGAAGACTGCACAGAGAAAAAAATGAAAGAAAGGGGAAGAAAAACTGGGTGGAAATTATAGTGGAGGGGAATTGAACAGGAGGCAAAGAAAAAAAGGGAAGGGCTAATTAGGAGTCGAAATGAGTTCAGTTCATCCAGGCAATGGTTCCTCCTGAGCCAAGGGCTGCAGCCTTCAGAGTAACTTGCCAAGGGATCCGGATTCCAGCACTTGGACCTCCAAGAAGGTCCTCTTCCTTCTTCACTGCTTGGTTTCCAAGAGCTTCTTCTATTCTGAGCATATGAGAGCTCCCCCTCCCTCTCCAGCCATTTCCCTGTAAATATGGGTGAGAAAATACCCCTTTTCTATTAGATAAATACATATTTTTTTAAATCTGTTCTTTTCTCTGAACCTGTTGAACTATGCACACTGTGGGAAAAGTTGATAAGGAGAAATCTCTGATGCCTGCCCCCTGGCATAATCCTTAAACTTTATTTAGAAAAACCTTGACCAGAACTGCTGCTCACAAAACAAATAGTTTTGTTATCTGAAAAAATGACTTTTTCATATACTTTCCTATGGTGCTTTATGCCCAATGACTACACTGCCCAAACTACTTTTATGGAGAGGGGTAAGGAGAGAGACAGTTCATTAATTAGGAAGAAGGTGCTGGCCCAGATTAGAAATATCTTCATTTTTTGTAAAATTCTGAAATCAGGAATGCACACCTGTGGGTCATAAAAATGGAAGGGGGTTATTAAACTTTCTACCCTGTTATTGTTATTTAGCGTATGGCATACAATGTCAGGGAAATCTACAAATGCTAGACACACAATGCAGTCCTGGCAGCCAAAATTGCTAGTTTATTATGTTTGGCACTTGCGTGCTTATCCTTGGTGCACCGCAGGGGGCAAACTAACTTACACCAGCTGCTGGCTCTTCCAGGCTCCTCTGCCAGCCTTGCTTCATGTTGTGTTGCCTCGCGTCCAGCCAGGTCCCATGCCAGCTTCTGCTCTCCACACACACAAACAAAGCTAGCTTTTCCCCACCAAAGTGATGCCCATTTATCTACTTGCAACACTGCATGCTTTCGAACGGCCGGGGGAGCCGGCGCCATGGAGCGAGTGGCAGGAGCTCACCCCGTCTCACAGAGCCAAACTCGGACCGCTGGAGTGCAAACAATTTCTGGCCAGCAGTTCCAGGGTCATTAAGCCACTGTGGCATCGCGCCCCCTCTACTCCAATACAAAGAGCAGCACTGAAGCGCCGGGCAATTCTCCCTGCCGGAAGTCTTATCTGGACTTTGTATGTGAACAAGAATTACCCATTCATTGTTATTAACCGTTATCACCTTTTGAGTTCTTTCTCACACTTCCAGTCTATTGTCCTACAACTTTTCTTTCAGTCATTTGAATAGGGAGGATTATTAATAGGATTGCTTGCAATTGCAACCCATAAAATAAATGAATAGAACATACAAGAATAGGAAAAACAAACGGGTGAATGTTTCAGAGATGGCTGCTACTCATTTTGGTCAACTCTCCCTTAGCTGTGCTCGCATGTGCCTCCGACACGCTGGAGGCTGGAATGTTGAGTTTTTGTGGATGTAATTAAAGGGAGAGTAACTGGAAAAAACCGCAGGCTTCGTGAAATGCATTCCAGCCATTCGCTCGACAGTGTTCTCTTTAATGTTTTTTTTTATATTACTTTTCTTTGTCCAGCAATTGAGTTGTCAGTTTTGGAGAACTGCAAAACACTTTCGGAGTCTCTCATAATAGATGGAAGGATCAAAACAATGCAATTTGAGGATTACAATGCTCCAAACTCGGAACCCCAAAATATGACATGAAAAGTGCTGATAGTTCCACACTCTTTTTACAGATACAGATCTCCAATTACTTGCAACGAGGGCAAGAAACCCAGTTTTAATGATCAAAAAATGTAGAAGATTTTTTCTGTAAAGGAAAATGGTTTCAAACCTCCTCCAAGAACTAGTTGTCAAGAAGCTGCTCAGAAGGAGATCCAACCTGGAAATCAAGAAGAATTAATAAGTGAAACAGCTTCCCTCCTGACGTTTTGGAGGTGTTCAAGAAAAAACTAGAGAACCGTTTGTCTGGAAGGGAATAAGGTCTCTTGCCTTGGACAAGGAGTTGCCCTAGAACACTTCCAAGGCCCCTTCCAGCTCTATGACTCTAACTTGCACCCAGGTAATCTCACAGACACATTAAAATCGAAGTTTTTGGATAACAAAACAGAAATTGGTTGCTGTCTTCTAAGGTGCTTCTTCTACCTCATAATGTAGCCTTGAGCTGTGGGATTCCTTAGATCTTCTTCTCAAGTATTAACCAGGCCTATAAAATACAGAATAACAGAAGGGATCTTGGAGGCCTTCTAGTCCAACCCCCTGATCAAGCAGGAAACCCTATACCAGCGATGGCAAAAAGGTTGCGTGGAAACGTCTTGCGTGCATGCGTGCTCATCAGGGCCGCACTCCGGAAAAGCTGAGCTTCCAGGTTCTAGTGTGCATACGCGCCCACCAATCAGCTGGCCAGCATGCATGCACATACTGGGTTTTGGTGCTGCCGTGCGCACGAAGGGATCACGCTCTGGAAAAGCTGAACAAGGAAGAGCCTTGGTGGCTCAGCAGACTAAAGCACTGTTAAGTAGCACCAGCTGCCTGCAATTATTGTGAGTTCAAATCTCACCAGGCTCAAGGTTGACTCAGCCTTCCATCCTTTCGAGGTAGGTAAAATGAGGACCCGGTTTGTGGGGGCAATAAGCTGACTTTGTATATAAAAAAAAGAACACCACTTAGGGGGGAGCCGAAAGCCCTACTAAGCAGGTATATACCAAAGTATGAAGGCTATTGCTTAACACATTGTAAGCTGCCCTGAGTCTCCAGAAAAGGGTGGCATATAAATCGAACCAATAAATAAATAAATAAATAAACTTCCAGGTTCTGGCACACATGCGCACCCGATAATCAGCTGGCCAGCACACAGATGCACACTGATTTCAGCACTGCCATGTGCGTGAAGGACAGCTGATCATCATATGCACACGTGCACCAGAAACCCAGAAGACAAACAGGCAAAGTTGCATGTGCCAGGTGACATGGCTTCACGTGCCACTTTGGGCATACGTGCCATAGGCTCACCATCATGGCCCTATATCATTCTGGACAAATGGCTGTCCAATATCTTCTTAAGAATCCTCCAGTGATGGTGCATGCACAACTTCTGGAGGGAAGTCATTCCACATATTAATTGTCCTTGCTGACAGGAAATTTCTTCTCGGTTCTAGGTTGGATCTCTCCTTGATAGGTTTCCATCTCTTACTCCTTGTCCTGCCCTCAAGTGTCTAACTCTACTTAGCTTCCAATTCCAGAGAAAGTGGTGAGGTACAGTTTCCTGCTGACTTTGGCAAACCACATACGTACTGCAGCCAGGAAACTGCATGGACCATGAAGTCCTCAGGAGTCCACCTTCATGCAAAGAAAGCGTGGAAATGACAGGGGCAACCGAGGCATAGAAGGCATCACTTGTGGAAAGTAATAGCTCCTGCAGCTCCTGGGCTTGAGTCTTTCCCAAGGAGGAGAAACTTCAACCAGCTTCCAGTTTTAAACAATCTGATTTAGATTTAATGTTGCATGTGAGCAATTTTGTTCAGGTTAAATTCTCAAAATTCTTCACTTTCTATGTTTAGGGTGAATTGATTTTTATGTCAGCACCTGCCCTTTCATGTTTTT